GGTTTAGGGTTTAGGGTTTGAACCTAAAGCCCACCCCTTCCCGCGCTTTCCTTGGACCCGTCATGTAGGGGCCTTAATGATTAGAATAGGGTTTTGGGGTACAGTATACTATAAATGTACTAACGAACCCTCGAAATGGTATAGGTATAAAGCTAAGGGTGTGGCACCTAGTTTACCCATTTTGAAAAATGATGATAAAGTGTCCCTCAAGCCCTAAACCATAAACATCCCTAAACATCCCTAAACCCTCAAATCCTACACCCTAAACCCTAAAAACCTTGACCCTAAACCCTAAAACCCTAAACCATAAACCCTTTTAAAACCCCAAGACCCTAAACCCTAAAACCCTGAACCCGAAACCCTAAAACGCCTAAGCATCCTAAACATCCAAAAAACTCTAAGGGTCGGCTGGCCCTCGGGGCCTGGGAACATAATCGATACCAAAGTCCCGGCACACCCACTACGAAGCATCTAGACTATCCCAGCGGTTTAGGGTTTAGGGTTCCTAAAACCTAAACCCTAAACCCCAAAAGCCCGACACCCCAGTGGCTCCCCAAACCCCTAAACTTTACCCTAAACCCCTTCAACCCTTAAGCCCTTAAGCCCTAAACCCTAAAACCCTAAACCCCCCTATACCCTAAGGGCTTAGGGTATATGGGGACCCTCCCCAAACCAAAAAAATAATAAACTAAACTCCTAAACCCTGTTCAGCCTTGCTCTCGCCGCTGAACACGGAGGTCCAGCATCACATCTTCCACACGGAGAACGTGCCAACCTGTTGTGTGACAGTTTAGGGTTCAGACCTTATAAGGGTATAGGGTTTAGGGAGTTTAGGGTTCAGACCTTATAAGGGTTCGAGGTTAGAAGAAGGAAACTCTAAACCCTATAAACCCTAAATCCTAAACCCTGAACCCCTAAACCCTAAACCCTAAACGCGTGTCCAGGAGGATCATTCGGTTTCCAAGGACTCATTAGCCTTACGCATCGTGTGGACCACATGAACATGCATTTACTCCAAGCCCGGAGTTGCTTGGCCTTTAGGCTTTAGGGTTTAGGGTGTTTGGGGGTTTTGGGGCTTTGGGGGTTTCGGGGTTCGTTTGGCACGCATGCTGTCTGTCCTTGCCTCGCCCCGTCTTCAGCTTGAGCACATCACCCGGCTGAGATTGCAGTGCCACCTGGCACGCTTGATTACAGTCCCAAGCTTAGTATTTGGGGCATCGGGGCTCAAGCTAAGAAACCAACACATTAATCCCTAATCCTTACGCCCTATAAGCTCTAAATCCTAAATCCTACACCCCAAACCCTAATATCTAAGTCTAAGCCCTGAGCCCTAAACCTCTTAACCCATCACCCGTAACCCCGTTTCAGTTTCGGCATCATGAGGTCGGTTTACAGGGAAGCTTCGACGGCTGGTTGCTACGCTACACCCTGAACCGTTCCTTCAACAAAGAAGGCCAAGGCCTTTGTTCAGCGTCTGCTGCCATGCCAGGGCTACGCGCACCACGGATGTATAGGGAGCGTGAGGATGTTGGTGTGGGGTTTGGGGTCTGGGGACGGCGCGGAAAGCTGACTCTTGGAAAACTCCCTAAACCCTACACCCTAAACCCTAGTCCCTTCGACACCTAGCCAAGGGAGCGATGTTGGCGTTTAGGGCTTAGAGTTTAGAGCCGCTCGAAAAACCTGATAATTCGAGGGACTCCTTTAAGGGTCCATAAGGGTTACTGCAAGGGCTTAGCATAGGGGCCTTTTTGTTTACTACCTTTAACTTGCAGCCAGATGAGTGCGCAAGTCGTCAGTGCTAACCTACTTCCTTATCCTATAGGGGCCTTACTTGGGGTTTCTGATTTTAATCGAATATACTTATACTCAGGAGCAGGAAGTAGTATTAAGTTAATAACCATTTACGCCCCTATGTTACCCCAGATCCTAAGCGCCAAACCCTGCCACCTCTCCCTTGAGACCCAGAAGCTCGCACCTTCAACCACAAGTCAAAGATCAAGGGTTTCGGGTTTTGGGTTTTGGACCCTACACCACAAAACCTTAAACTGCCTGCAAAACCCAAACCCTCGTTCAGGGAGTTGAGTGGCTGTGCTTCGAACGCTTTCTGAGGATTGGCGCATTCACTTGAACTGACAAACCCACAAATGAGTGATGCACAAGCTCTGTTTCTGACCCGATGTATTATATGGGCAATTCTCTAAAATAGGTTCCCTTTTCAGGTACCCAACAGGTGTACGGCACCCTTGTAAAAGGGAATGTAAAGTGGACCCTAATTTAGACAGTTACCCATATTGTAATCCCAAGAAAGAAACCCCTAAACACTAAACCCAAGAAAGGACTCGCAAAGACCTGCTAGGCCACAACTTCTTAGGGGCTGAGTACCCTAAAAAAGGTTAACCTTTCCAATTATGGTAGGATTATATAAACCCCAAAAGGTTAAAGGTTACCTACTCAGCCCCTGAGACTTAAAACTTGGACCCCCATAGAAGCCAGGCAGCTTGCCTCCCGCGCGCTCGAGGGAAGAAGCGGCTCCAGGAATGCATCGTGCTTCCTCGGCTTCGAGACTTTTGGGTGCTTGGCCAATTCAGGGGCCTGAATAAATAGAATAGGGTTTTGGGGGTATATTATACTATAATTATAATAGTAAGGAACCTCGAAGATAGTATTGGTAATTAATTAGCCCCCTATATTTATATTTTAGAAAACCGGTGAAGGCCCTTTAGTCTTTAGTTAGGGAACGACTTCTTCGGAGTTCCAACCACCAGCCTTGCCAGCTCATAAACTCCACACCCCGAGACCACCCCTCAGCCCAGCAAGCATAAAACCCTCAAACTGTCACCCTACACCCTAAACCCTTAACCCTGAAACTGTCACCCTACAACCTAAACCCGGGGACCCCAAACGCTTGAAATAACACATGCCCCACATTTATAAGACCCCAAGAAAAACATTCATTCTGACCTACGGACCTTGATTAATAGCACCCACTTTCCTGTATAAAGATGAGGAGCATTTATTCATCAAGGAGGGTCTGCATCATGATAAATGCCCAAAAACATGGAACATACTTGGATTTGAGCATCACAGGCATTATCGCGTCAGGCTGTAGGGGCATATGTTTACAACTTGTGGATACTCTACTTGTACGTAACACAAAGTACTAAAAGTCCCTTGGTTCCTTCAAGCAGACCGACCCGTTGTGAAAGACACAAGAGAAACCCCATAAAATCTCCTCTGCAACCTTTTTAAAACACACACCCGGAAGCACACACCTCGAATCCTTCAATAGAAACCGTTCAGACACCTTCAACCCTGAATCCCAAAGCCTAATTCCGCAAACCTTTCTGTACTTCCCTGAACACTGAACACCCAACCCCAAACCCTCTACCGTACACCCTAAACCACCGAAACCCTAAACCCTAAACCCCAAACCCCTAAACCCCTGTACCCTAAACCCTAAACCCTAAACCCCAAACCCCTAAACCCCTAGACCCTAAACCCGAATTCCCGACTTCCCTGAACTTTAAACCCCTAAACCCTAAACCCCTATACCCTAAACCCCAATTCCCGAATTCCCTAAACCTTAATAAACCCCTATACCCTAAACCCTAAACCCAAATTCCCGAATTCCCTAAACCGTAAACCCCAAGCCATCAGCGACATGGCAGAGGCCGAGTCTCCCAACCCATCCTCAGCAAAGGCGAGGGTTTAGGGGTGTTGAGGTTTATAGGGTTTAGGGCTGAGG